TTTTTTCTGGAGATTGCGGACGACGATGCTGTTGTAATTTGTTCCTGAATAAATTTACTGCCACTTGACCGTGAGTAGGCTATTGGCGTGGAGATTTCATCACTCTGCAAAATGCCTCAAAGGATCGCTTCGCCGATGATGACAAATTTTGTGGGGTAGCCACGTCCAAATGTAAATCCACTGGGTCCAAAAATTTCTACCAGGTGATTTTCACCCAAGTTTTTGATTCCTAATACCAATCCGGACCATCAGCCGGCATCTCATCAGGAGTCATTATTGTCTGGGCTCAATTTTGAGCGTTCTACAGCAACCGCTCTCTATGCGTGACATGGACATTCTTGTAAGGAGCCACTTGAGGTACGGGCTGTAAGATTCGGTCTATCAAGGCGATATTAACGCCTTAGAGTAATTAAAAGCTTAGGTTAGGTCTAAGTAATTTCGTGGTAGTTATTTACCTTTACGTTCAAGTAGTCTAAGTAGTTAATACCTTTGCTAACTTTAAAATGTATAAAATTCGGTCTAACAAGGCGATATTAACGCCTTAGAGTAATTAAACGCGTAGGTTAAGTCTAAGTATCGTGAAACTCGAAGTAAATAAACGAAATGAGTCTTTTGGTAAAGTTAGGTATGTCTCGTGAAAATAGCAATACTCTGAGGGATTGTGAGGCTGAGACATTGCCTATATATAATCCTCTCAATACTGTTTTCGCCGAAGGGATTTTATTTATTGTTTCGTTGTCGCTCTATTAGAAACTATGGTATGTTTCGTTGGGGCGAATCCGAGAGACTCATAAAATCCTATCTCTAGAAAAAAAGAAGAAAAAAAAAGAAAAAACTCTTGATGTCCATAGTTATTGCATTAACCAATAACTTGCCACTTATCAAGAATTACCGACTTAGCCTTCATCAGACTGGTACATCTGGTTGGCTGAACGGATGATAAACTAAGCAACGCTAATTGTCCTTAGAAACCTATGTTCGGTTGAGCCATCTCGCTACCGAAGTATTCAGATATAAATAAATTTGGAAAGTAAATATAGTTCTATTAATAGAACTAGACCAAATCTTTTGTTTGGTATTTTAATGGGGTCTTTGAATGACCTTGTCCAAATATCTGATATGTATTAGTTAATAAAACCGTAAAAATCATTTAGGAAACTTAAGTTCTTTGTACTATTAAGAGTACGTTTATAGTTTACGTACTGCTTAAGAGTACGTTTATAACATAGAGTCTAATGTGGAGGCCCGGCTATTACAGGGCTTCGTGCGGCCAATCCTGTGTCGATAGCTCCGCGGTCAGGTGACTTGTCGGTTGGTGTCAACTCTGCCTGTGTTGGGTATTGAGGAGCCCAATGTTGTTGACTGTTGGTTCGGTCTCAGTCATCATCCACTGTCGTCTGGGCCGTGTCCTGGGACATAGACGTGTCAATTTCTGCCAGTGACAATTGTAAAAGTCGGTCTCCTCTAGGCTGACTATACGATACCAAAACGTTTACGTTAATAGGAAAATACGTTAAAACGTTTAAATGCAAAATGTTAAAATTAAGTTTAGCTTCAAACCTTGGTAGTGAGCAAAAGATTAGGGGATTTTAGACTGAGACTACTGTCTATATGCTCCGCTCTAATCACTCACTACTTCGGTCTAGATTTATTTATGTTTTAGTTACTAAGACTAGATATCATTTCATTGGACGCATATTTTACCTTTCACGCCCCGAAACAATTATCTACTCAAAATAACCAATAAAATATCTCTAAGTCCAACTTAAGAAAATAAAAAATAAAATCAAAACACCAAGCTGGTGCAGTATATATCTGCACCTAAACCCCATCACTTGGTACCTAGCTCCCCATCCCATTTAAGGCATAGACGGGCACATCTAGTTGGCTGGCTAGGAGGAATCAAAACCAGGTTGTCCTAAATTCTAACAACTCTGATCCTGTCCTTTTCTCAGTAGATTATCTTGCTATGAGATTATTATCGAACTGTACCATAGGTTTGTACCAACAACCATTTCATGCACGAGACCCCCTCTCGTGGTACTCCTGTTAATTAGAGATTCCCAAAGTGTCATTTTCAGGTGTCAGATTTGTATCATTCCTATATTATGTACAATTACAATTCTAATTTCAGTGGAAAAAAAGCAATCTATATTTGGAAAACCACCTAATCGTCCACAGTAGAGTCCCATACTCTACCGAGTACTATCACATGTTCAGAATCTTGAATATCTCAATTCTTGTTCATGTCCAATACGTTAAATGTATTCCAGTATTATGAGTATAAACATTAATACGTTAATACGGATATAATATACGTTAACTGCTACACAATTGACGGAGTTGGCGCAATTGACGGAGTTGGCGGAGTTGCTCTTGAATGAGGCGACTAATTTCCTTTGCCTCCTTTACATACATCTGTAGAAA